CGGAGTAGCCCAGGCGTCCCCGCTGGGTTCCCGGAGAGGCTGTGGTGGCCCCGGCGCTCGGGTGCGTTGTCTTCCCTACCTGCTAGGCTTAGCGTGGGTCTCCCCACTGGTCCGAGTGCAGGGTGTTTGCAAAGAAAGCACTCCGTGCTGCGGGGCGGGGAGGGGGCGGGGACCAGATGCTGTTTTTAGCTAAGAAAAGTCCTGGCTGCTTTTCTTTACCACTCCACAGTGTTAAACGAAGGCTTGGAAGAAACAGTGACGAGGAACAAGGAAAGCATAAATGCTAGAGGTTAGACTGGTGGTGAAGGACTGGTGTCTTTGCTGTGCCTGAATATATTCAGAGACCTACCTCATCTTGGAAATAATTGTTTTTGAACATAATGCATCTAATTTGGTTATATGGAGAAATTATTTCTAGGATTTCCTGATAATTCTGTTGTAATACAGGAATGCAAACTGGAAGTTTTACAGATCAGTGTTACATGTTTTGGTGTGTGTTTTTTCCTTTATCTTTGATGCGTTCTGTTACGTAGAATTCTTTGTGATGTTGATAGAGGACGTCCAAATAATATAGGGAAAATAATATAACTGTCAGCCTACTAGAGTCAAATACGCCGGGTTTGTGTTTTCCAAAATTGAAGAATGAGTTCTAAGGAACACAGGCTAAGAGTAGGAAATATTTCTTGAGAGGGAGAGATAGGAGGAGGCCAGAGTGGGTTGCCGGGATCTCACTTTACAGGGGAAGTTTTATAGAGCAAAATCACGGAAAGGATATCAAATCATAAGGTAAGTATATCCCAACTTGCTCAACCAATAAGATTACAAGCATTTCTGCTTAGGTAATATTGATCCAATGAGAAAGCAGGTCATGAAGCAAGTGTATATGGAAAGAACAAGGGACATTTTTAGGAAGGGATGGATCTGGAGGTCTTTGTCACCTACTGGGGTGACTGATGTCTATTAGACTTTATTGGGCCAGATGCTACCACGCATTGCATCCCTTAAGGCCTGGCCTCCCAACAGATAGGTCTCTGGCCACAGTTGTAATATGTTTTCAACCTTTTTATTGACTCTCAAGGGTGTAGTTTTGTATGACTGCCTATAATATTTCTTCCTAACTTAGCTGTCTGTACTAATATAATTGAAGAAAGAAAGAAAGAAAGAGAAAGAAAGGCATACCTGTAGTCAGTACTCTGGGAGGCTGAGACATGAAGACCACCAGGTTGATGCTAGTAGCCTGGGCAATTTAGTGGCTTACCGAGACCCTAGCTCAAAATAAATAAAGGGTAGGGGATACAGCTCAGTGCAAAGGCCCTAGATTCAACTCTCAGTGCCACGAAAACAGAACAAAAAACACCAATTAGTGGTTTGGAAAACCAAGTAAATTCATTTCAATATTTTTTCCTAACAACAACAAATAAAGTTCATTACCAAAAAAAAAAAAAAAAAAAAAA